GCGGCACAACTTCGATCCCCGCTTTGCAGAATAGCGACTGGTGCCTCTTTATGCAGCATCCATTACTGGGGCAAACTGTGGCTGAGATGAACCGTGCAGTAATTATCGAACTCGCGACACATGGACGAACCGCACAATTCAAAGATCCGCGTCGGGCGTTGCACAGGTGTCGCGCGAGGCCGAAAACTGCATGGAAATCGAACTCATTTGAGAAGGTGGAAGCTTCGAAACGGGGATTCGTTGATAAACCGCTCCTGAGTTTGCGTAAATCAAGCCTTGGGGAATGTGGGATTTGTTGCGACGCTCCCTTATGGCTTGTAGGTTCACTTTTCAATTAAAGTTCCATCTCTAAACATGATCTAGTTTACAAGGGGAACACTGGGGGAATGTCGAAACCTGATTTCGATGAAAGTTTGCGTACCCGTTGGTTCAAATCTATTTGCTCTATGCTGCCTTTCGACTTCGAGTTTTCAAGTTGTCGACTTATTGTTTCGTGTCTAGCTGCCTCGATTTCCTAGCGACGAAGATATTGTATTTTCACTCACCGACATGAATTATTATCGCGAACTTGGAGGTAGATGTCATGTTCTGAAGTAATACGTCAAGCTGACGTACCGTGATATTTCAGACGTAATACTCTCGCACGCGACATGCGCATAATGGAAGGTTCGAGTGGACTGTTACACGATCGAGATCATGTTCGTTCCCATCGATTGAAGCACGGACAAAATTTCGTGAACGTTGGACACCTCGGGCTCAAATTTTGGAAACAAATTCAATTGCAAACTAGACTAGAATAATCATCTAGACTTATTCATTAAATACTTTTCAATCCCTTTTAGATCATACCAAAAGAAAGAAGAAACCAGTTGCGCGTTAATGGATACACTTCATTTGCTAAGTTGACAAATTGAGCGTTTTTATAAATGTGAACATAAAGTATCAATACATATACGGTATGGGACATACATTACATGCTCCCTATCGTACCTTCGTTCCGTGCGAGCCATATTTCATTCAGCGTTCGTTACGTGCAAAGACGATATCTGCATCTGAAGTATAACTCCGTCAAAATAAAGTTTATGGGCCTACTTTTCCGGTACTGCTAGCTGGAAACGAACGGAGCATGACTGAAAGGTCTACAGCGGCGATGGCGTACCTACCCTTCTGCGAACGCGTGACAAAAATTAATAAAACAAAGTAAGTAAGTAGAGTAACATTTAATTTGCGAATGTTCGAATTATTATTATGAATGCTACTCGTTCGTTTAATATTAGGGGGACCGAAAAGTAATCAAAATTTTATCAACGTTTATTTATTAAAGAAATCTTAAATACTAATCAACAAAATAATTTCGATCATTTTCTAACACTTTTTGCCAGCGTAAAGGCAGTTGTTCTCAATTTTATATATACATACGTCAGGTTCATTAACAGGTTTCTCGTTTTTCAAACGAATAATACAAATTCCACAGATTCGAAAAAAGAAAAAAGAAAGATTATTGGAATAATTATATATCTATGAAATATAACAAATAATACGGGAGACTTTAGAATTAAAAATTTTAAATAGTACAGCACAGAGTACGAATAACAAAACTTTCCCAAGTTCTGCCCGTACACGAAAATGCAGTGCAGGGTGTAATTGAAAAGTCTAAGGGACACATTCGTTCCGTACCTGCTATGAAAGTTCAGTACAGGGCGTATTTGACCCGTACCGCCTAATATTAAAGTCCACGAAAAAAGCTCCCGGCGGCGGTGAACGTGTTAATTCGCCTATAATTGCGGTCTCGTTTCAATAGAATTCATTCTATGGCCGAGTATGCCCGCTCCGTGTTCGACGGAGACCGTTCTTTTCAGTTCAGGCGGATTAATTAAACAAGCCTGGGCGAAAAGAGTGCCCGCCCTTCGATAAAATAAATACCACGCAACGACGAAACACTGGTTACGTTCCTCGTAGTTCGGATCAATTTGCAATTTGAAGGATCGCTCCCTGAAGCGATTTTCCTTTCCATCCAGCTCTGTAATGCGGCCCATTGGCTCATGAATATAAAAAAAAGAACCCTACCGATCGAAAAGAAAAGCTCGTTCTTCGCGTGAATTCTATTCAGCGTTAATTAAAGTTGGCTGAAAGGCGGACGAATTATTTTTCGTCCATCTCGGGAACGATCCCGGTTAATCGAGCCACATTAATTTCAAAGAAGGGTGCCGTTCACTCCTGACGCGTAGAAAAATGGAGAAGAACGAGCTACTTGGCGAATATCGTTGGCGATAATTAATATGCGTAAAAAGCATAACGGCTGAACGGGAAACAACAAGGGGCTACGGCGGAGCTGCACGAGAGAACGGATCGGCACAATGGCGTTTGCCCGTTCGTCTGCAGCTGAGCAGTTATTAGATAGTATTGTTAATTCATCGTGTCGCTGACATTTCATTTGCGGTCGTACAATAGCCCCGCGACGCCGAGTGTGTAGAATCCACGCCGTTGCGGCGACTTCCTTTACTCGGGAAAATAAATAACGATACACCATCTTTGTCGAGTTCTCATTCGAGGACATTTTGCATTCGGTACGCCAATTATACTGGTCCTCCAAGGATCCACTGGTCCTTTTCAAAGCATAGAACAACTGCTCGAATAAATAACGATTTACTTTCTAGTATTCAATGCTAGGGTTAATTTATCTTAACCTTTTAAATAAATTATTTTTCTTTATGAGTCCTACAACTTTTAGTGTCCTAATAAACAAACTTTTTCATCGGATTAGTAGTTCCAGAGCTCAATAACACGTTCATTTATCCAAATTTAAAGTACCTTAATGATTTAATCCACAATTAAACATTTCCATAAATTACCCCCCTTCTAGAATTGTCAGATCCACCCCTCGAAGAGGCCACTTAAAACATGCTCGCACCCCTTTGTCTTCGCGTACGTTCAATTCAGCATCGATTCTCCCCTCTGCCAAAAGGGAGCAGATGCGCAAAGTCAATAAAATTCTCACACGTGCCAAAGCTACCGCTGGAATCGTTGCACCAGTTCGAGCTCGCGCGCGACACAATCATAATTGTATATTACTAGGGGGATGGCGCCACCCCCTCGGTCGTGTTTGCATCTCGCCGTCGCGTGCAGAACAGAAAAATTTAAATTTTACAGCTCGAGTTTCGGAGGCTACGCCACGGCGCGTATTGCGTCTCGACGTTGTGCTCGGATCGTATCAAGGGAAGAGAAATCCGCGCGGAATCCCTGGAGGCGGTGCACACGACTCGACGTGTACCTTCCTCGCCCTCTTGTGTATTCCCACGTGTGTACCTGTGCGTGTGTATATGCGTTCACACACGACAACAAAAGGGGGCAAAAAAAGTTTCGGAATAATTTTTACCCGCTTTAGCATCCGGCGATATTACGGCTGGGAGGCAACGGGAAAGACAAAGCTAAAGTAAATTCATTTTCATGGAATAGCGGCCCGTGCAAATGCAACGATATTTTTCCTTCGTCTCGCGTCTTACGCCCCCGTTATCCGACGAAATGAGCCGCGTGAACCGTGAGTTAGACGACGCCGGTTATACGTTTCCCGCGACAGACTACACTGGGGTTTGGGGAACCTTTTGGCATCGGAAGGAAGCGTATAGCCTCGCGGATTCTTCGCAAGCTGAGCTCCGGAAAATAAGGAATACAAATTTTAGATTCATTCGTGGACTAGATTCCATTTCAGTTTCACATTCTTTCTGATATGAAAGAATATTTCTCACACTCAAATGAATTTGGGCTCGATAAATTTAATTCAATTAAACCACTACAATAGTTGCGTGAATTTTAATAAGTATAATCATTTCTATCGTGGAAATTAATCTAAAAACGACCTGGCATGTTTGATATCATGTATGAAAGTCTTGTGTAGAGAATAAACGTGACGTTCGTCTTCGCAGCCAGTCGAAGTACCTTAACTCGTGGCACCTGCCGCTGAACGATTCCCAAATGAGTAACTTATGGGTGAATCTTTCATCCTCACGTGACCTCCTCGCCATTTTTTCCAACGGACGAGCGACTGTACGGTTTGTTTCGGCGTCGACGGATTGAATGTGTCGCTGCGCTGTTGGGTCTGCGATATTGATTCTGTCCGGCGGGTCATTCCACGCCAAATCGATCACTTCTTGCGCTCCATGTCAGGGATTTTGGCAAAAGTGAACTATGATACGGTTCATACGAAATTAAAGAAGCTTCAATCATCAATTTACTGCTTTTGAATTTATCTCGTTATTAAATAAATGCGTTTAAGTCTTTGAAAATACGAAAATTGTTGGAGTGTTCGTCGAGGATTCCCCTACAGAAAAACCGTAGTTTTAGGGTTGGAGTTTTATAGTTGACGTAATAATGAGCTGTTAACAGCAGCGGTGCAACCCCTTCCAGATAATCAACCCGCGTGCTCGGCTGACCATATCGCTCTCACGCTAAACTATTCGAATGAAGTCTATAAACCGTAATCAGCTGATCTCATTGCAGTGCCAATGGCGCCACTGGTACCGAAAGAATTTTACTGACCGTCGCTAAATTAATTTAAGCAAGGATATTGCCGGATTTTTCAACCACGTATAATAAGGTCTATCGACCCTCTTTTCTTTACGAACTTCCGGAAGTGATGGTATGCCTAGCCTTTGTGTTCGCTGTTGTAGAGGTTGAAGCTCTTATATTTCACTCTCTTGGAATTTGTTTGACTTCAGGGGAGACTAGAGTAATTAAAATTATATTAGCCCAAGTGCAGGCCGCAACAAATTTCAAAGGATCAGAGTACCTGAATATCAAACCTACGATGATTCCTGAACATTTTGTTGATTTTTTCATTTTGTTTGTTAACCTGGAGTATGTTACATTTCAATTGTACCACAAAGCAGTTTTGATTCAGGTTATTGGATTCGATTTGACTATTAGTGTAGGAATCAACTTCGGGGGAAGTATATGGCGTAAAAATAAAGTGCAAACTTTTGGAGGTCAAAACTTATCCTTACCTGAGCCATAGCAGTGACACCGTGGCAGGTACAACAGAACGAAAACGCCGATGAGAAGTCCTCGAAGAGGACCTGGGTCTGGTCTGTGATCGAGAACTGGCATGTTACTGGTGACCTGAGCCATCGGCACGCCGACAACTTGCTCCTCCTCATCACTAACTGTCGACGATCCTGACCGCATCGGTCATCAAGCACGTTCCTGGCATCGTGATGGCCGCAAGGTGGTGAGTGTTCTCGCCGATATCCTGCACATAGAGTAATCCAAGTTAATCTTCTACAGACGTCTGGAAACTCTCACTGACCAGACAGCCCCCAATAGCCATCGATGTAAGTCGTGTACATCGATATTAAATTAGGTATAAAAATACAACTAAGATGTAAGAATACTCCCAATTTAACGAAACTTCTGAAAAACTTCCATACACTTCCATACTCAATCAGTTTAATAAATTAATGTACATACTTTTTGCTCGTTTTTACGCAAAGAATTTCTAGTCGTAACATTACTAGGGAGTACTGTGTCCAAACCTGATGACACCGGGGCGAAAGACTCCGTCATTCGTTGCATTCAATTGCGGTTTGCATCAGTTAGTCGTACGCTATCGTCGTTTAGCCTTCCTCCGTCCCTACCCCTTTCCCTTCGCGTGTGGATTCATGCACCGAGCGCCCGGGATTCGTTCGAAACTCCTAGTTATTCCGACCGCGTCGTCCCATGTAGGAAGTTCTCGGACCCGTATACAAATAGCTATGTACTCGAGGAAGCAAGAACGCCTTCGCGCGCTGGGTCGATGGGACTCTAAACAATCCCGCTGTATAGCCTCTAAAAGGGTTAGAAGTAATTAGTCGCGGTACAACTTTAATCTGGCCACGTTACAGTTGGCATTAGAACGGTATGCGATAGATTAAACTTGCATTTGCGCGATACGGTGCCTTCTGTGTTAAATAAACATGGTTCGACGCCGGTGGTCACTTCGAGCAAGTAGAATAGGTCTGTCCATTGTCAGACCTACGAGTTTACGAAAATTCAGAAGATGTACGATTTACATATTGTAAATTCAAGCTACTGAAGCTAAACCAAGTACACATCTACTCGACAAATTATCAAACTTATTTTTTTTTTTTTTAAATAAAGCGTCATATAGAAAAATTGTGTTTTTCATTTTTGATTCAATTTTTTACGTAGAATTACCACCTACTCGATTGTACAAAATTGAAGGAATGCATACAAGGTTGCATTGAGTCCAGATGGTTCGCGATCGTCGTGGATTTCGAGGGACAAGCCTCGCGATTGGTCGATGGCTCTTTTAAATTCGTACACGTGGCGCGCCACGATTCGCAAACCTGGTCCCCGGTGAATTTGTATCGCATAAATATACGATGGCAAAGTTCGGTACCGTCCGAGTGGGAAGAGCATGTCTCTGTTTTCCGTGTACCGAACGTTTCAAGGATGCGAGGTCGGCCTCGTGTAGCATCTGATATATACATATATATATAGTTATAGAATACGAGGAGGCTCGTAAAACCGTCAGAAACAAGTGTTACGCCCTGTATTGAGGTTGTAAGATATGGCGATATGCATGTACCGTAACCTATAATGGAACTTCGGGATCTGATGTTTTGAATAACCGATCGCCCGCTCGCGAGCGGAATATTGCCTCGCGTTATTCGTTCTTTCGGTGTAACGGCTTATCGCGAATCCGTAACACGCAAAATGAAAGCTGGCGACCAATCACTGGACAGCGACAACGTCTGATGACATCGTTACATTCTTTGTTGGAATATCTACTGGTAGAAGATAAAATAAAATTGGGGTAACCCGATCTAGAGCTAGTCAGTAAGAAATTGTGATTATAGAGACACTATTCAATTAGGTTCCCTTTGAATACATGGTTTATCTGAAGATTATTATCCAGCCCCAAGAAGTACTTTTGCAGGGTGAAAAAACAAATCACGAATTATACTTTGCATTCTTTACTTTTATAGATATTGTAAACATCTGTTGATCAATCTTGTCAGTGTTAATTTTGCGTCTGATAAGAAGAAGTCGAGAACATCTATTCAGTGTGAAGATTGCACTGTACAAAAGAGGTGCAATCGCTTTTATTCGTGTAAAAACACTCCGGGATCGACGGTTCTTCGTCTCTCCTTTCTTTCACTCTAATTATTTAGAATGATCGATCGTTAACGGGCAACGAGCGCGGAAGCGATCGAATTACACGAGCCCGTAAGCCGCGTCGTTGCCCCGATGTAACGCCCGCGATAAGTCGTTGAACTGTGCGACACTGTTGTTTGTCACGGCGCCGCAAAAATTCTTTTCTCTTGGCTTCGTTAAGTTTCGTTCCCATTAGTGACCAAGGAACGCGATGTCCAAGATATCATGCTGCAGAGAAAATATTATAATGTTGTCATATCAAGAACTCAAAAGTTGGATAGTAAACAGCAACTTTTATTTGTTTACGCTGAAAAAGTGACTTATTGGGGCTGAACAATAAATCATTTAGAAAGACTGATCCTTCCCAATGAGAATAAGAAAAAAGAAGAGTTCAATACGATTCATGTTTCCGGAGATAAGAATTCATTTATGATAGCCAGTTTGTGATCAAGTAGGTGACGGTAGGAAATTTTTGATCTACTGTACTTTTTTAACAAGTTTGAAACTGGCAAAGTGATGACTTAAATTCCCTTTGATTTCACGTGAACTACATACACCCCTTCTCTCTAAAACATCATCAGCGTTGAAATAATTGTCCATCAATATACGAGCAACTGCGTCGCCTTGAACGCCAGTGAGAATCAAACATTACCGCGAATAAATCGTGTAACTCGAAAGTGAGCCGAGTCGTCGTTTAGAGGGGCGACTTGTTCGATTAACGTTTCAACGATGCCGAGATTTATTGCAAACAGGAAAGCCTCGGATAGTGAATTACGAGCCGGAATAAATTTTCTACTAATACACCGTTGGAATAAATTTCAGATAAACAACCACGCTTTAAATGGCCGGGGCCCAGACGTCGTTATACCGGGCAGGATGGTGAAATAATAATTACGAAAAACACGAGTACAGGGTCGACTTGTTCAAGCCCGGTGAAGAATTAAGGTTTATTAAACGTTTGACGTAATGAATTTTATAGACAGTTGTTATTTCTGGTCATTTCTGGATTTCTGTTTTAAGCAAAACAGAACAAAGGAATGGATCCAAACAAAACGCTGAATTTTAACCACCTATTTCGCCAAATCGCTTTCCGAGTGTTCTTCACAAAAAATTGTAACTTTGTTATCGCTTCCGTTAGCATGCAGAAACGGGCCTCTCAATAATTCAAGTGTCCGTGCAACTTTAATATCACTCTGCATACGGAATTCGAAGTTTAAAGTAGAATGAGCCAATTTCAGTCACATTAGCATAGTTTATATTATAATTGAAATTCCACAAAGATTGGTTTACTCGCACGAAAACGCGAGCGAGGCTTTAATAACAGTTGGAAATTTTAATTATTTTAAGCCACGAATGCGAATCTGTAAATAACAATATTTAAATTGACTGTTTATTTATGTATGAATCGATTATCGGGCAGAAATTTGAATCATTTCAATGTACGTACGTACGTACGATTCCGACCTAGAATCGAATAAACTACATATTTCATCCGGGATGCTTTCGAAATTGCTTGTACAAATTGTTAAACGTTACACAATTGTAAACTTGTGAAACACGAGTGTTTTCAATTTAATTGAAACTCTCCACCCGGTTTGAAAAGCGAAGCGTTTTCAAAATATCTAAAATTCAATTTCATAACTGCATACACGATCGGAGAGGAGCAAAAGTAATAACACTCGGCCATTATTAACGTAGTACATGATGGTTGCCGTTACACCTACGAAGAAATTTAGTTGACAATGCATCGTTCGATAATGGCTGCGATCGACCGGGAAATCGTTTAATTCTGTTTTTGATTAACGTCAATTTTAATTAAGCATTGCTGGGATTTGAAAGCTTCTACTCGAAACGTTGCAAAACACTTCAGGAGTACATTTCTCAAATTAATCATAGTCCATCGAGTTTCAATTTAATTCAAATTATGCGACTGGAAATACTGCATTACCAAGAAAAGGTGTACGATTGAGGCGGCGCAATATATCTAAAGCATCTGAAATGAAGAAAACCAGGCACGAGGTTAACTTCCAACGCAGGTTAAGCTACAAATTAACAGCTTGTTTCCTAGCAAGGACATCGCGTTTCAAAGGCTCTACTTTCATTCATTCCGCGTATCCAGTGGCGTTCTCCCAAAAAATCTCAAATATCGCAAAATTCGTACGGTTCCAAACTGGACAGAGGCTCGAAGAAAAAAAGGCTGAAGTTTCATCTGGACGCAGACACCGAGTGGACCGAACGGGAGAGACGTCGAAGCTTTTGTACGGGTTCGATAGCCCGTGCAGCGCAAACAAGCCTACGGGACACAAAACAGGGTCCACGATGCGGAAGCGAGGCCGGGATTCCGCCCAATGGGCTTTCCCTACGTCCGTTCACGGGATGTCGAGCACCGTCATTACGTCGTATGCAGACGAGTCGGCGTTACCCTCGCGAAAGAACTGGATAGAACCGAAACAGACCAAGAATACGCAAAAGGAGCCAAGGCGCACGGGGAAGGATTTTGGGATGCAAATTTTATTCCGTTCCTACCCTCGGCAGTGCCCACCGCTGCTCCTCCACCCCCGCGATTCTTCTTTCGAGCCAGTCAGCCTTTTTTCCACTCGTACACAAGCTTCTTCTGTCCTTCCGAACTTGCCAGTTTCTTTAACCCAGCCCTTTTTCGAACGATCGCGCGCGATCCTTTACGCGTCGTCGACCACCGCCGACAGAGTTCATCGCGAACGCTTTTACTTTCCCGACTGTTATCGAACGTAGCATGCAAAAAAAGCCCCGCGAGGTCTGTGCGCTTCTCGATGTTTTTCAGGAGCTCTATGTTTGGCAAAAAAAGAGTTGCAGCGTTCTGGAAGTGGGTTGATCTCTATTTTACGGCACTCCAGAGCTGACTTCGGATATATTTAGGATAGTATATTTTGGGATCCTTGTAGATAAATATTAGGTTGTCGTCAAAGTTCATGCCACTTATACTTCTGCTACTCAAATTAATATGTGAAACATACCCTTAAAAAACGTAGCGTAACAAACGCTTAACATCCACTGTTTTAAATAATATTTTCGTGAGCATTAACTGTATCACAGTTCATTTAAGATTCTGCTTTA